AGGAAGCACTACTGAACTGTCTCCTTTAGAGAGAGACACAGAAATCTGGTGATATTACCCATTTAGAGGTCAAGGTCTTCAACAAGGATCAACATCTGTTCTCAGGAACTCTTCCCCTGAGTTTTCACACTGAAAATACAACACTCTTCATCATCATGAAAAAGCCAGTAAATGTTTCACTCGTGTTCAAAAAAGTATTTTCCTTGGCTTATTTTGCAAGATCGAGTCAATCTTCATGCATTTTATAAGGAAAAAACGTTTCTATTTTAAAGCTAGAAGGGATCAAATTCATCTTGTTTCTAGCTTGTTAATCCCAAATCCTTGGGATTAACCTCTGATTCTTATTTCCCAACTTCTCCTAAAGTGGAGCATTAAAACATCCCTGTTCAGTTCCCAAAAAGTACAAAAGGGAATGGATTCCAGGCTCCATGCTGAAAACACTGAAAATAATATTTGTATGTGTTTCTATTGACTGAAGAGAATTTTTGAAAACCAGTGACTAAGAGATAATTTGCCTTTTCACCAATTGTGCTATAACATTTCAGTCTGCATCTCAAAATGAGATTCTTCTAAAGCAAAAATGGACCAACCACGAGGCCTTTTCGTTGGTTTGTGTTTTTAAAGACAGTATTTAAGAGACTGCACAATTCCTGTAAAGGTATGCTACCAATATGAAACAGCCACACAAGCTGCATATCTTTAAGGTCTTTTCCAACCTTAATTATTCTATGATTCTAAGTCAGAGACCAGAAACAAATTTAAATATTTAACCTGAAAGTTCTAACTCCAGAAAACACTCTTTAAAACAAACGATATTGCAAACACTGTCTATGACAAAAAGGAAGCAAGAAATCAAAACTGAAAAGGAAAACATAACGACACAGGTAATAAGTTATTTATATTACCAACTTACCAGATCCAACATTACAAATTTTTCCCAGTCTTATGGGGAAAAACTCTCATAAAACACATTTGTAAAATCAGTATATAGAATCATACAATAGAATCATAGAATGGTTGAGGTTGGTAGGGACCTTGAAGATCATCAGGTTCCAACCCCCCTGCATGGGCAGGGACACCTCCCAGCAGCCCAGGCTGCTCCAAGCCCCATCCAACCTGCCCTTCAACACTGCCAGGGATGGGGCAGCCACAGCTTCCCTGGGCAGCCTGGGCCAGGCACTGCAGGGGATGGGCCAGCCACAGCTTCCCTGGGCAGCCTGGGCCAGTTCCTTCCTACCCTCATGGTGAAGAATTTCTTCTTGATATCCAACCTGAATCTCCCTCTTCCAGTTTTAATTAATTTCCCCTCCCATCCCTCCCTGCCCTTGTCCCAAGCCCCTCCCCAACTTTCCTGGAGCCCCTTCAGGCCCTGGAAGCTGCTCTCAGGTCTCCCTGGAGCCTTCTCTTCTCCAGGCTCAACACCCCAACTCTCCCAGCCTGGCTCCAGAGCTGCTCCAGCCCTCCCAGCATCTCTGGGGCCTCCTCTGGCCTCTCTCCAACAGCTCCATGTTCTCCCTGTGCTGGGGGCACCAGACCTGGACACAACACTCCAGGTGGGGTCTCACCAGAACAGAGCAGAGGGGCGGAATCCCCTCCCTGGCCCTGCTGCCCACACTTTATTTGCTTCATACTTCTTTTGATACACAGTTTACTTCAGGATGGGTTTAATTAATTAAACCATCTGTTATAAACCACATCTGTGGTCACTACAGGATTTTGCCAGAAGCAAACATGTAAACTGTCCCATCACAGAGCTGAGATGAAGTCATGTTACTATAGCTCTCTGTGTTTGGAAGGAAAACTGGATTAGACTACAGACAGGATTTCCTGAGAAGATGAGGAGTTAACATGAGTTCTCTTCCTTTTATGATACTGCACAACCACAGCATAAATATTGCCTGTTAGAAGGAAGGATTATTTTCAATCATTTGAGAAGACAACAGCAAGACATTGGTCCTCTCATGAAGAATGTTCTGTCCCTCTTTTGTTGTGACTATCAATGGTGCTATTTATCAACTAATAGCCATGACTAATGCTGGTATTCCTAGCCACATAAATATAGCTGCAATCTTTCCCTTTTCCTTCTGCAAATGTTGTGGTGTCTCTTTTTATAAATTTGGGGAATACAAAGTGTGCAGAACGTTCACAACACGAAAATTCAACTTTGAATTTCAAGACTGCAATATGTTCAGCAGCAGGTTTCTAAAAAGATACGTGAAACCACAGCTCAAAAATTAAAGAACAAAAAGCTAAAATTAAAATGGAATTATTTTCTACCACATAGTTCAAGCTTTCTTTTGGAGTGAAATTCACAGTACTTGTCAGTCTCTAAGGAGGTTATCTGGAAAATGGGGTGGAATGGGCTGTTAACAGACTTACAGTATGAGACTGCTCTGAGACAGTCCTGGAATAAATCTTCCATGCTCTGCTTTTAGTATCTAACACATCTGTCTTAGCAGCTCCACTTAGCATTTGCTGGTACAGGTTCAGACCAAAGGTCTTGTGAGCTCAGTCTCTGTCTCTACCACAGGCTGATACAGCCAACAGAGAACAAAGAGGACTTTTACATGGATTATTTCCCTCCAGAGCTCTCCTAGGCACCGGGAATTTGGAGCTAAGACCTTCAGAGTTCGTTGTGTTTCCTGGGCAGCTCAAAGCCCTTTGTGGATTTTTCTGTCACTATCTTCCAGCATCTGCTCTTGCACCCACATGAAGCTCCAGTAAGAATTAATAATGGAGTTACTGAACCACAGACTGGTTTGGGTTGGAAGG